CCCCAAAACCCCAAAACCCCAAAACCCCAAAGAGAAAATTGAAATTTAGCTTATTATTGATGAATTTGAGTGTATTAACAAAATAAATAAAGAGGCAAGCTTATTTGTTTGAGAATTAGTTTTCTAAATAATACTTTGCATGGTATACTTATCATCACACTCTACTAACATAAGAGCCTGAAGTAGTTTTATGTCTTAGCCATTTCCCAGGTTCTTTAGCTGTATCGAAAGGAGATTCTATTAATTTGGCATCCATTTTAGATATTTTAATACCTGAGGCTGTATAGTTTGGAATGTCAAAGTCTAATGTAAAGGGGCCGAGCTACTTAAATTAAAGTTCATCTATCAAAACATCTTTATCATAAGAAAGACATATGTCTAGTTATTTACTTTATCCTCCCTTTAAATTTTTTATTTCCCAGACAACTTTTCTCTTTTTCATATCACAATCCGCAGTCCCATTCTCTGATGAAACACTAGCAGATGAAGTCGCACTAGCAATCCACGAAGATGCAACTTTATTTAATGACTCTATATCTTTTATATCTCTTATTCCAAGTTGCTAGGCGTCTTGTTGCATATTAGTAAAATTTATTTTATGTACTTTAGCCGGAAATCCGAAACTAACTTTCAAAAATTTAGCTCTTAGATTGGGTGGTAGTCTGCAACTTGCTTTTAAAGTTAACTCCAACTAAGAAAATAAACAATAATAAACCATACTTTTTTGTAATTATGACGTGGGATAAATGATGGATAAAGTTTGATTGGAAGCATCTAGAAATTTCCATCTAAAGAGTATTGCAATGCGATTGATTGACCTAGTGGTGGGAAAATAGAGAGCATCCTTGAATGTGCTAACTCCTACTCATTTATAGTTTCATGAAGTTGACTGACTTGAACTCTTTTTCTCGCAGAGCCACCTCCTGTACCCTAGTATTTTGAATAATTACATAATTAAACTTACATTATATATCTCCATTCTTTCATGAGATCTGCCATCATAACCAAGACTTACTCCATGATAAGTATTTGCAAGAGTTTGTTCTCCTCCTGGTTAAAACTCCTCATTTAATTACAGCCTAAGATTTAATCTGCTATGTAAGTAGTTCTTAATCAAGATCATGCCGTTTATTTTAATATAGATGGCAAAGCCACTGACATTAAATACTGCGGACAATCTCTCCTATATCTCCACAAATACATCATTTGCATTCTTCTAAATAGATTTCTCACTATCCTTCTCACTCACTGAGTCTGTTAGCTTCAACTTATCAAGTTTCAACTGTCTCCATAGATAATCTCTGCAAAAGATATTAGTTACTATGACCTAGATATAAAATCATACATTGTTCCACTATAGCATTTTTCTGCTTTTGTATGAACAAATTTTCTTAATGCCTCAGGATGTGTTATTTGCGGATGGCCATAGTCCTATATATCATAAGTTAACTCTCTAAGTATTACAATTATCTCATCTATTAGCTCATACACCAAAATAAAATTGGTTCGCATCAATTCTTCCTCTAGGCCACCACAAAAATCATGTATCATCTGTAAAGATAAAATGCTTTAAAATGACAATAAAATTACTTAAACAACCTTCATAAGCAGAGACTAAGCAAATGATGGGATCATATCGCCCTTCTTGGAAGTAAAGACAAAGAATAATTAGTTCCTTTTAATGTAAATAAACTACACGCCTTGTCTCTCCTAATGAAATTATCCTCATCGGAAAAATATTTACGAAGAATGGTTCTATTAGATTCTAGTTATCCTCTGAATATGAGTTATTGATTCCAACTAAAGACAGAAATATCTCCTAGGTAGTGTTATATTTGCCAATATCAATGTCATGTCTGACTAATAATAATTACTTGCATGTTACTTACAATCTTTGTGAATAATTGTGTCTCCTCTTAATGAAAGCACAAAAAATTATGATATCATATTTTATATTAATTCACTTAATTATTTGACTAGCACTATATTCTACTATCACGGGGTTTTGGGGTTTTGGGGTTTTGGGG